AGAATTAGAGTCGCACTAGGATTAGATTACTTATATTAATTAGGATTATATTACGACTAGAATTATATTATGATTAGGATTATATAATGACTAGGATTAAATTATTTATAATTGCATTATTATTATTATAGTAGTAATAGGTATTGTAGTAGGACTCTAAGTATAGTTAACTTAGGACTCTAATTCTCTCCATATATAAGGAGTATGTACTCAACAATTTTATTCATCAATACAATCCTTGATTTCTCTAATCCTAGACGTGAGATTTCTACATTGAGAACTTGAAATTACACTAGAACTATATGACACTATTTACGAATAACATTGAAAATTTCTAATATCAAAATTGTACCATTTAATAATACTAACATTGTACCATATAATATACCAACAATTATTGAATTCTACCCCATATAATATACCAATTTAGTTGATATTTCGTGTCATTTTATTTTTTTCAAATGACATTTTATACCACAAGGGTAACCAACATAAATAATAGAACTAATTACATCATATGATTAAATATGATTATGAAAAAAATATTTAATAAACAATGAATAAAATTCATATCCGCTAATATCATTCAATTAGATTATGAAAAAAAGTGTCGTAAAAATAAAAAATTAACTCAACAATGCTAATTCTCATATGGATATTTGGTACAAGTTTTGTTGTTGTGATCCTCTATAGGCTATAACACATTTTCTACAATTTACTTTAGATCTCTTGAAAAAAAAAAAAACAATTGCTAGTTGCGTCACATATCACTCCTTCAATCTTGAAATCCACATACCTTCCTGGAATGCATTTCAAAAAAGAAAAACTACTAAACAACAGTTATAACAATCAAATTTGAAATACACAATCATATTTTTTTATATCACCAAAAAAAAAAGTTATATATGAAATGGTGTATAATATGATTAAAAATTGGTGTCACTTCATTATTCTTATAATCAAATTCGAACACCAACTTATAACCAAACTGTAGGTATAACATTGATTTATGAAGATTGATAAAGTTGAACATGATTATATGTTACAATCCAACAGTGCATAACAGCATAATCTAATCAATTATTTATCAATTTTTTAGTATAATTGAACTAAAAAACATTATGTAACGCTAGTTTTAAAAAAGAGTTAATAAATCGAAACAATTTATTTAGGCAAAAGTCTTATTCTCAATGAAAATTAATTTATTTATTAAGAAACAATAGAATTTTTTTAAAAAAAAAACTGAATTATCACCAAGCAGAAACCAACATCAGTAAATTGAAAAAAAATGAAACTATCACCAAGCAGAAAATTACAAAAAAAACTTTTTCTCCTTGAAACAACGTGGATAAATCTCAAATTGAATCAACACAATATTTATCAATAAAAAAATAAACATATTTAATTAATTAAGCAAATAATTTCGGAAGGTGAAAAAAAAAACAAATAATTTTGAAACAATCAAAAAAATAAATTCATATTCAAAATAGTTTTTAACCAAAATAATTTGTTTCAAAGCTAAATTTTCATAATAATTACCTCATCCTTCGCCATACTGAATTAAAATTGAAACGTTGTAATTTTCGGCCATTGAAAGAATTATTAGAGAAGATAGAGAGTTTGATTGTTGTTACTTGTTAGTATACTAGTATTGTGATTATGAGAGAGAGGGAGGGGATTATGTTAATGGTTGAGATAATTGTGGAAGCAAATAACAGAATGAGAGCTAATTAAGGGATGAGAATCTTATATAATAATTATTTATACGTTTTTTTTTTTTGTAATTCCTTTTTTTTTTTAATTCCCTTTTTTCTTGATTTTTTTGTGTTTTGTAAAAATTCTATTGCTATGTTTGTGAAAAGTCAAATTATTGTTATATAGGAGTTATTTATGTGCTTAAATTGTACTAGTTTTACGGCACGTGCGTTGCACGTGTGTATCGCATATATAGTATACGATGTTATAAAATAGAATTAATATTACTAAATTAATGCTTTTTAGTAAATAATTATAATTGAAAGAATATAGGACTAATGTTTTTAAATGATTAATACATATTGTTATAGATTTACTTGTATTTTGAGATTATATTGATCAAATATCATTGAAACATTTCAAAATAAGTTTAGAATTTAAATATGGTGAGAAAGTGACATTTTTTAGTAGTATTATTTTTACTTCACTCAATTTTGTAAACAAATCTAACAAACAAATTTATTTTTAAAAAAATATCAATAGTCTTTTTTCTTGAGGTTATGAACATAAATGATGGACACCATTTAAGTATAATTATTCTCTTAAAAATTCATACTTGAAATTTAGTATGTGCATGACACTATTACCATAAATATTTCAATATTTTATCTTTATACGTAATTTATTTTTTATAAAATATTATTACTCAATTAATATTTGAGTAAGACTATCATAGAAAGGTAATTTTACCAAAAAAAGAGTACTTTGTTGTTATAACGAATGATAGTTAAATAGAGGCTTGAATGTATGTCAAATATTTAACTTGACCAACACTTTGTTATATATATACATTTTAGTACCATAATTTAATTTTAATATATGAACATCACCTTTGGTGAAAAATATTTCATTTCATTAAGTTTCTACCTTATCTTTGTAGAATTGTAGTCTTTTCATTTTTTCTGCCGCATACATATCATATAGTTTTTTCTACCGCATACATATCATATAGAATTATATCATGATATAAAATATTTACCTTTTTCAATAATAAAATTTAATTGATGAATAAAATTTAAAGTGTTATTTATAGAATCCTTAATTCTATTTATGAATACTTTTTGACCAATCACTATTTTCTTATCTATTTTTATATAGCTATCAAGGAGTGTATCTTGTGACATAACATTTTCTAAAATTAAAATGAGCACAAAATAACAGGAAATTCATACTTAAAAAATTGCATACTCAATAAAATTATTAAAAAAAAAGAAAAAACATATGGAACAATACATAGCCAATGAAGAAGGAAGGCGAAAATATATGTTCATGCTACATTCACTATGTATTAAAAAATAATATAATTATTATCATGATTATATTATCGTATTATAAGTAAAGGTGAAAATCTATTTTTGAAATAGTGGATATAACATCAAAACTAATAATTCAATGGACTATGTTGAGTTTTAGTAAAATTAAAAAGAAACTCCTTTGTTTAGTGTGAAAGAATAAAAAATAAAAAAATAAAGATGAAATATCTTACCCAAATGATGTGTCTTTTTTCACATTTGTTTATTATTATTGTATTTCCCACAACTTTTCTTCACTATTAATTCATGAAAATCGTAAGAAAAAATATGAGTGTGAATTGATGAATGATTTGCTACAATTTGTTCACGGACTCTTTCTCATGTGGTACCTCGAATTTAATCAATTGTTCCAAATAACCCTTGATATTTTTTAAGAAGAAGAAGAGTAGAAAACTTCAAAAAAAAATCGTAGTTTAAAAGTGAGAGGAAACCCTCTATTTATAGCTAACAAATAGTAGTATGAATAGGTGCTAATTCTGCCTTATCAGAAAAGTTACAACCTTTCGAAAAAGTCATTGCTCATCAGAAAAGTCACAACTCATCGGAAAAGGCACAACCCTTTGGAAAAGTCGCAACTCTTTTGAAAAATCACAACCCTTCGGAAAAGTCACAACTCATCGAAAAGTCACAACCCATCAAAAAAGTCACAACCCTTTGAAAAAATCACAACCCTTTAATGTGAAAAGGTATTTACTTTTAATATTATTAAATTAATAAATAAAATAAATTGATTATTTTTAATTGAAGGTATTATAGTAATTTAACATTCAAGTTTGGAGTTCATGCTTTTTAGGTAGTATAGATAGATATTTTAGTTTTTTTACCCTATATAATATAATGCTCTCCACCCTCCCCTTGAGGAGTTAGTGAATACGCATTAAAGAATCTTTCTTACAAGCAATTGACCAACAGATGTTACATTTCACTTGGGTCTTGTTTGGGCAACAAACTTTCTCCCATGATACAAGTGGAATACCTTCATCACAAACACTTGTATTGAATTCACCAAAACTTATACTTCACCATAAACTTTTGTAGGAAATTCTCATAGCTGAAGGATATTTCACCTGGTATAGGTGTATTCCCAAGATTCAACAAGCTCTTCTAGTATAAACGAGGAGCCAGAAATTAAGAAAGAAAGCCTAGCATAACAAAGTATAGATGGAGAAATTACAAGAGAGAACTTTGTGCCTCTCTGTTCTCACAAAATGAAAACATGTTCTTTCTACTATCCACAATGGATGAAGAACATTATATATTAGTAATGTGACATTTTCTTCCCTCATTATTGGAAAGGATTAATGGGAATTAATATCAATAGAGAAAAAGTATTTATGATGGTATTAAAGACCATAGTCAATCACCACTATCATGGACAATGAAGGTCTTTTAAGGAGTGAATAATTTAGGACATAAAATAATATTTTCCTTCAAATAGAATAGGAGATAGAATAATTCTTTATGAGATATATAATACTCCATATTTTTTCAACATTTTCTTAGTTAGGAATTACAAAATTAAGATGCCACATTTCACTACTTATATGTTATGTTGTTATCTATGTGTAAATAATCTTCTCTTTAGACTAGAATGAATATTTTTACGTTTCATTATGTATTCCATTACTTTGGACTGTAGATTGCTAATTTAATTTGGTGCTGTATCTTTCAAATATTGTTTGGTTGGCTTTGATTGAAGAAACTATACATCGATGATAGTTGTTTATGTGACGAGCAGTTAAGAAACTTCGACCTGTGATGTTACAATGCAACTCCACAGTCACAATACAATGGACTAGAATGCAAATTCCAAATTGGGCATATATACTATGTAGTCCTAGCAAGTACTCTATTTCAGTCAAACATGAACTACAAGTTTCATAAACCTCAACAACAGTTTGGTTCTCACTTGGATTTTCAATAAGACTAAATCTAACAATTATCCAACCAGTTATCAGACCACCGTTTGAGCTTGGCATCGTGAAATGTCAAAAGAACTTGTGAAGAAGTTGTAGGAATATTCAAAACCTTCTTTGATGCCTCTTTTGATGTCAGAGCATAACCAGCACAAACAATCCTAAATTTTTCCAATACCCGTGCATTCTTCAGAAAAAACCTTATTAGTTCTATCTCGTTTTCTTCATCTTTGAAACCAATCAACTGAATCGATTTTAGATGAGAGTCCAAACACACAATGCTTACTTCAGGATCATGCATCTGCCAACAATTAAAAATATTGTGTTTCAGATCTGAAACTTGCAATCCCAAAGGTGACTTTTCAACTCCCCAGTCTCTAGTCTTGTGTTTAGGGGACTCAAAATCTATATAAACATAACAAGTAGAGAATTACTCACTACCTTATATGTACATTGTAATTTTTTACCAAGGGGGGTCGGGTGAAAAACCTTATCCCCCGGCCTTGATCTTCCCGTACCTGCCAATAGTCACACCATTCTTGATACTTTAAATAATTCTCCCTCCATTCTCCATCCTAGAAGACAATTGAGAGTCAGAAGAGAATCAAACGCTTGTATTGAAACAACTATAAATCTGAATAAGCAGCAATCACTCAACAACACAAGTAACTATTTCAAGTGAAAATGCCAAACAGGATTCACTTTCAAGTGTCACTGATTCATAAAAAATCCAAGTGATCTGTTCGTATTGCAGTCTAATACCTACAATTCAAACCAAACCAAGCCATCCATCTAATCAACATGTTATTCATCTCAGACTTTTATTACATCACTTCACAGATGAAGTGCCTTACCTCATCGCACCACAATTTTAAAACCTCGAGGTTAGGCGAATACTTGAGCAATCGTATCATAACTTGCATACAATCTTCATCAACTCCCAATTTCAGTTTTAAGGACTTGAGCTTATTAAAGCAGATGGGAGAGAGGCAAGCCTCTTTATACAAACCCTATAACACCAAAAGAAAATACAAAAAATGAGAAAATTAAGAATCTATGTGCTTATTAAATCCAAAGAAAACAAAACTTTACCTTAAGAGAAGCCTTGCATAGTTTCAGAAGTGATATAGAAGGGACTTCCTTGATCATCTTATGCACAAGAATTCCAATTTTCTCATCACAATTTCTATCATAATCATCAAAATTGATTTAACACATGTTCTATTGAAAAGAGATTGTTGATTACTAATATCCTTTGGCATAGGAGATTTATATGTTAAGAATTTGAGAGCAGGACAAGAAATTTTGATTTCACAATTGTCATAATAGTTGCCCTCATCAAAAGTGAGGTATAAAAGAGATTTCGAAGCAATATGAAGCAGGTTCATATGTTGTAAATTGCAATCACATAATTCCATTTTTTCAAGGAGTAGACATTCTGAGAAGAAGCAACTTGTCAAATGTCCATCTAATAACTCAACATTGCAAAGATGAAGCAATTTCAGCTGACGAAATCCGTTTAAATGATTATGATTAGGCAGTTTAAGTATATATCCACACAAATTTAGTTTCAAAACATGTAAAGATTCACAAGTTACAAGACAATGCGGTAACTCAAATGGCTCACAAGGCGAAAACCACAACACAAGTTGTTCAACATTTCTTCTTGTTGCTGCATCAATAAAACGCAATATATCTGTGCTTTCAAACATATTGCTACATGAGAGGATAAAACGGACAAGGTTAATCGTTTTATGGGAAATTAAAAAGGTATCGATAAATTCTTTGAATTCCTCATGATCTGGATCTGAATCAGAGAAACTACTATCAAACCGGAAGTAGGGGATGGTAGTGCTTATGTATTTCCATCTTTTCGACAATACAGTCATATGAATCACATCAAAAATACAGAGATTTGAAAGAATGTTGTGAAGTATATCAACGGGCAATGAGCTTATTCTATCAATCCCATTACTGCAACAATATGTTTCCATTCTAACCTAGAATGCACAAAAGAGTCGAGAGGCACATAGGGTTTTTCCTATTTATATAAAGGAAAAGGGCTCAAATATGCCTTTATTAAAATGATCCTTAATATATAATAAAAGTATTTATTTGATCTTTTATTTGATTAAAATGGTCCTTAATCCATCTACTACTCTTATATATTCGATGCTAGTGAACCCCTATTATCCCGTCCTCACAACTTAACTAAAACATATTAAGATCTAAATATATCTTTTTCATTTAATAAAAACAAAAAATTAATACATCAATTTAGGGGCCAAAATAATTTTCCCTTCTTTTTTCATCTAATTCCTCAAAAACCATTTATGCCGCCCCCACACCTACACCCACAGCCACACAATCTTTTAATAATCCTTTCTTTCTTTTCTTTTAGGTAGAAAAGAAAAGGGATTTTTTTTTTCTGTACTCATATTAAAAGCTGATTAAACTTATATTTATACATTACAAAACACATTTTTGAGTAGCGCCTACAAATAGATTTTTTTTTCATTCTCATAACTCTAAACTCGAAATATATAACTAAAAATGAAGGATTCCTATCATTCCACCGTAACTCAAATTGAAAGGGTTTGTTGATACTTGTATTGTTGCAGAACTAGTATTACTACTATAATTTGAATAAAAGTTTCTTTTCCACTCTTTTTGAGAACATATTACACAATATCCTACCTAAAAAAAAAAAATATTACACAATAGTATAAGTTTTCAATTCTGCAACTAAGATTTCCCAGGATTGAGAAGTAGCTCCACCTTTATGTAGTAACTTTTGAATTCTGTTTGATATGATCTTTTCATGTTTTTAAAATATTTTAAATTATAAACTAATATAACTTATTATACTTTTTAAGTAATTTTTAACTATGTAAATTTTATTTTAAAATTTCATTCTAAATTCACATGGCAAAAATTAAAAAATTGACTCTCAAACGATGAAAAAAAAAACATATAAGATGTGTCCGAGTGTTGTGCCTCGACACGGCTTGATCGGTAAATTTTACTATGATATGTTAAAATCAAAACATATTGCATGTCTACTATGAAACAGCATTTATATGTGGTGTGATCTATTATATAACTACTTGATGGCGAGTGTTGACCATCAGAGCATGTATTGCACGTCTGACCTCAAAACGGACATTTTTTGGGGAGGGATACACAAATTACTTGCAAGTATATGTAAATAACCCGAAGTAGGTGTATTTCATTGATTGACTAATTGAAAATTGAAATCACTACATCAACTATTACAATAACTGTTCAATGGATATATAAATAGAAAACATATAGCTGTTGTGGGAGGCATAGTAAAACTCTAATTGCTACAAGAGAAGCTTTGGATACAAGTTTCTTGTGCATAATCTGAATATTTTACATAGTTGAAAGTCCAGCCTTGTTCTTAAGCAACCCCATTTGGAACCTCAGTTACAGTCATCTTGCTAGTTATTCCAATTAACTTTCGAGTTTCCTCATCCATCTCCACGTTATCCTTTTTCATCCTCTCTGTAACTATCATTGGCATCTTACCAGCATTCACATAAGTTCGGAGAAGTGCATTATATATCTCTGTATTCACATACTTAGCGTGTCGAAGGGTAACTAGTAACTGTTCTGCCATCTGAATGTCGCCCTGCTCTTCAACTACATGAAACATCTCTTGAACCATCTTTGCATCCGGATCCCATTTTGAAACACTTGTAACAGTTTTTTTGAAAAATTCGACAACTTTATCCATTTCCTTTTGCTTCAAATAACCCCGTGTAAGAAGATTCCAAGTGGTGCAGCTAGGAGTTATGCCTTTCTCCGCCATTCTGTTGTGAAAATCGACAGCATTTTCCATCTCACTTCTGTTAATGTAAGCAGCAAGAATTAAATTTGCAACCCTAGTATCCTTGGTCACAGAACCAGCTTCCCATTCAGTGTACAGATTCATTGCTTCTCCAAATTCATCCAACTTCAGTAACGACGATATAATACAACTATATTCTGTATCATTCACTTTACGGAAGAGTGACTTCATCTCCTTCCATATTCGGAAAACTTCATCCTTGCTCTGTAGATTTGTATGCAAACTAATGAGAGAAGCATATGCAGTTCGACCCTTCCTGGAAATCCTTTTCTCCATTTCTCTCAAAGTTGACTTTGCCTTATCCTGAAGTGAGCTTTTAATGTAGATGTTGGTTAAGGTGCTAAATGTTATCCAGTCAGGGTCCAATTTTGCCTTCTTTAGCTCAAGGAACGCTTTCTCTGCAGCTTCAACATTATTCTGTGATGCAAAAACTGCCAACTCCAGATTGTATGTAACAATATCAGGAGAGGTATTTTTCTTCAATTCCTTAATCAGGCCTGGAACCTTCTCTAGTTGCCCTTGGGATATGTATAAGGTAAGCATATGATTATAAGGAAGAGGGTACTTCAAGAACCCGCATTCGGACATTTTTTCCATCAAAGACTCAGCTTTAGCAGTGTCCTTGTGCTGGACATAGGTGTGGAGAAGGGCAGTACAGGTGGTCTGGACCTTCAGTTTATCAGGCAGGTCTTCAAAAAACTTCTCTGCACTGTTCATACCACGAACTTTTGCAATCAAGTCCAAATGAACTGCATAGTCACCAGATAATAGTTCGATATCATCTTGTACCCTCATCCATTCACAAACCTGTAAACATAATCCCATCAACATTGCAGATTTCAATGCTATTAAAAATGGCATGTAGCCTTGCTTTTCAGAAAACTATCGCAAGGGCTATTTAGAAAACTATGAGACACTTACTCAAGAGCAAGGACAATAATTAATTTAATTTAAACAAAACAAAAACAAGCAGTAGAAAAAATAAAATGCATGTTTGTATTAAGCATTTACAACATGCATTCCGTTCTTAACTGGTCATATCAGTGGTCAGAGTTCTTATTAGCAATAATATAAGGAATATCAGCAAAGCTTGAAAACTCTAGCAATTCCTTCAGTAGGTGAGGAGACTCCGGAGCAATTGGGAATACTGAAAAAAGCAGTTACCTTCTCAATCATATAACACCATATCTTGGATTAGTAATTCCCTTGTTCAAAATCTAAGGTGGCACCGTGTACAATGACTTTGTATTCAGCAATTAACCACATAGAATAATTCACTTGAGTATTCAACAAAAGAAGCAGATAATTTCCAGTTCTTACCCTATCCCGCCCATCCATCCTAAGCAAGTTTCATGGAAAAATGGAGAAGCTAGCATAGAAAACAACAAAAGGAAATGTATTCCAGTGCTGCAATACTCTACCACTATAAGCCTAAGAAATGAATGATTCAAAGTAAATCATGAACCAGTTAATGAGAAGAAAGAGAAACCTCAAGGGCATGTTTAAATCGTTTGTGTCTTCGCAACTCCCGGACAATGCGATTGAGCTCATACTTCCGGACAGGGTGCCCCTCTTCCTTCCACTTGCGTATAGCAATGACAGCACTACGTTTTGCATAGATCAAACTCAAAAGCCTCCTCCCTAGTGTGTCTCTGCCACGAGTACTTGTGGCAGTACTAGTGCCACCTTCTAAACTAGTGGTAATGCTACTTCCACCTCCTGATCTTGTGGACTTCACTGTTGTCGAAGCTTCAGTTGATAGAGGGCGAACAGCAGCATAAGATCTCCGGATCAAACGGAGCAACATTTTTATTACAGACACACTTTGTATTGCCTGCTTTGACAAGAAGATCAGATATGAGATTACCATAAAAAGATATCAAGACAAGCCACGTTTAGAACACATCGTTTTCAGATATTTGAGTCAACAATCTTTGTAACAGCATATTATACATCAAATGCACTTCACCACATTTTTCTTTTTTTTTACACGGATCAACTTGCTTACACCTCGACTGTTACACCGGGTATTACCTATTTCCCACCACCATCAACACACGTATCTAGTAACTTTGTCCACCAAAACTTAGGCATAGGCAGATGGGAAGAAATATATAAGTGAGGATAAGCATACACTCACAGTCAACATGCCTTCCTGGCAACAATAGGGTTTAATTGGACATTCAATAATCTAAATTTCATCATAAACTGGAGGTTTAGCACGTGAATTCCTATTTTTCATACAGAGCAACCACTTCTAATCTCTTACCAATCTACCACATTCCATAAGTTCCCTCGTCTCAAACTCTGCTCTTAGGTACGTTTCCTCTCTTCACTTCTCTTGATTGTTTTTTAGTCTACCGTTGTCAGGTTGGCAATTGGGAATCATCATTCTTATCACTTCATTCATCTAAGTTTGAGCGTCAATTACTTTCGGCTTGTTCTTTGTTGTGCTGGAATTTGAACATGACACTTTGTAATTCTCCTCCAACTAAATGTACTTCACCAGTCTAAATCAACTTATCCTGAATAACAGTAAATGTACTTCCAGACCTTATATTGACCGATTTCAATTTAGATTTTCAAATACTAAATCCATGACCTTAACCACTCTTTCTCAATTCAGCTACGCATTGCCCAACGATTTCCCAGCTTAAGCACAAAAAGCAAACAGTGTAGTATTTATTAAATTCTAAACATTTCTCTTCCATAAAAGCTACAAATTTTCACATTTTTCTGGTTTATTGCCATTGCCACATTTTAAGCACCAAATAAACTTTCATTTCGTCGCTAACTCGGCACCAATCAGAGTTGTAGATGCACACATACATGCTATAAATTTGAACTGAATGAAAGAACTTAGGATTATCAACGTAATACAGTAATTGAAAAATGATAAACAAACAGAATTCAGAAGAAAACACACCTCCTGTGCGAGTGATTTGCAACGTCTATTTATTCGCCGGCGAGAGAGTTAGGGTTTAGGGTTTAACACTTCAACCTCCTGTGTTTATTTTGGGTTTTCACTTCGCCCATGAAAGAATAAGGTTTAAGAAAAATAAATTTAAATATCTAGTCCTTTTTCTTTTTTTCTTTTTTTGATATTTTAGTTCTTTACCTTTGCTAAAGTGGATAAACTTTTAATCATTTGATATTTTTCGGTGAACATCATAAAATACATGTTTGACAAAAAGATTGATATTAAAAATAAAAAAATGTCATAAATTTAACATAATACTCGTATGTCAAATTTCAATATAACATGCGTAAATATGATTTAAAAGAAAAGGAAAATGTAAGTCTATAACCTTACTCAGTAATGAATTCTACTTTAATTTAAAAATTAGAATACGAATAAAAATTATGCTAATGAATAAAATAAACACAACATAAAAAATAGATAATACAAAAAAATTACATGGAACCACATAAAGTAAAGGTTGAAAATGAGAAAGAAATGAAATATAAATAGTATAAAAACAAAAAAAAAAAAAACTTTTAGAAAAATTAGAATAATAAAAATAAAATGAGAATTGAAAAAAAATATTAAAAAAATGTGGGCTTTGTTGTATAAGCAACCTACTTTTTATCTATAGATAAGGTACATCTTTGAGAAAAAAGAATTTACAGTAATTCATATAGAAAAAAATCTTAAAGATTTGAGTTCCTATATAGAGATTCTAGCTAATCATTTATTCACTAGGAATGTCAAATAAGTTCCATATGTACATAAAACCCATTGAATTCTTGTAGATGTGGCGGCTTAAAGAAATATATTTAGCTCATCTCTCGAACAGTTCAGGCTTTCCATTTCTTCTACCTCTTAGCTACATCACTATTACATTCACCAACAGTTAAGCATGAATCTTAAAAAGTCAAGAGTGTTGGACATGACATTATATAAATGTTTGGAAACAGAAACAAAGGTAGTAGATCAATCTGTGTTTGGTTTCAAAATTAAGGTTGGGCTATATCAAGGATAACATCAAAGTCTCAATCAAATTGACCCCAAGTTAGTAATTGAAGTACTATAGCTATCCAGGGCTTGAACTAGACCTTTTTTATCTTGTATTATTAACTTCGCTTATTGGTTTATATAAAGAGTTAGGGGTAAACATCAAGCACTGTAAATATAACAATTTTGCTGCACTGTAAATATAACAATTTGGAGCGCATAACTCATCTTGCATTTCTTTCCTAAAAGTAGAGCAAGTTAAGAAAAAAAAAGTACCAAATGGAAAATTATCAAAAAAGAAAATGGAACTTATTAAAAAGCCTAAAATTATCCCAACAACTCCAGCGAGTTTTTCAGAATTGAAACAATAGTAAAATATGCCACTACTCTCCCAACTCTTTCCCGTCACCATTTTAAGCTTCAGCAAATCTGATAATAAAAAAGAAATTGATAGGTTAGACATAATATCTAAGCAGAATCGTGCATGTATGTATGTGTCTTTCAATAAGAAGCTATTATGTATGCCTACCCCAATTCAGAGAGTGTCAAGTGAGCCTTAGCATAGTCAGCGAAGAAGGCATCTTCATCCTGACATAAGCAAAGAGTTGTTCCAATCAGTCAACAACACAGCCAGCATTTTACAACTTAGATGAATAGTATTTATACTAACCGCAGCATATTTCTCAACAAGGGGGCGGAAAGCAGGATCACAGAGGAGAGCCTTGTCTGATGGCAACTGTAAGAGCCCTTCTTTTTCCCCACTCAAAAGCTCCCTGACAATAACAAATATCTAGTAAACAAAATGGACTGATAACAGTCAAGTATTCCACAAAAGGAGAACTCAAAAAAGACTCTTTTAGATTCTTACGTAAAGTATGAGTTGTCAAAGATAAGGGGATTGGCGGTCCAGGGTCCCTCAAAACCAGAACGCTCCTTGTGGCACCTTCCCTGGAGAAAAATATCACTAAGAAATAAGCATGTAGGAATAGAACCTCGCAACAAATAGGATTAAACAGTAAAAGCAGGTAACAAACCAAGGTATGGGCACCAGAGAGTGCAACAATATCCTTATCAGAAAGACCCATTTGTTTCACAAACACGTCCTCAAGTGGTCACAGCCTGCATTAGGTTTACATATGATTATCGAGACAGGCAAATTGCAAGAGATATTAAGTTCCTCAACACAATGTTTTGCAATCAGAATCTTCTCTATAAAGCTATCAGTCTATCATAAGACAAATTTTGCAAAGGAAGAACTTACCCTTGGTGGCATCAGGCAAGCGACCTTCAACAGGTGGTTCTGGCTTGTCCTGGCAAAGCAATGTTAACATAAATTTAGATTTCACCAAACAAGAGGGATGAAAATGTTACACATTTTGAATATATAATACTACAAAGTTTCTATACATAAAGTAGGAAAGGGAATATAAGAATAAGAATCATCAAATTAGAATTCACTATGCAGGAGTTCTTTACACACAACCCTTTACAGTAATGTGAAGCATATGCATATCATAACGTCTTAGTTAACCAATACCAATAGGGAAGTATTTCACAAATAGTAGTGGAAGAGACTTTTGCCAAATGCATAAAATTTAGATAGAAGTTCCCAGAATCACAAGTCAGTATTTCCTTACAAACAGGGCCTCAAATTGGGAAGTAACTAGAATTGCTACAAAGCTGCATAGACAGTCTAACTAACCTCTCTGCCAGGGTGAAAGGGAACATCAGGTCCTCCAGTAACTTCAACAGCAACAACACCAGCCAACTGCACCAAAAGAAAATAGCAAGTTAGTTCTGCACTTTGTTAAGCAAATATTAACCGTTAAAAAAAATACTAACAATCAACGCAAGGATACATACTTGGTGGAAATCAGCATGGGAGAGGGTGGGAAACTGCTCCCTAATGGGCTCCAAGAGTCTGAGAGCAATGTCAAGACCATTGTTTGCACCATGAGCTTGCTCAGCTTTGAACCTCATGGTACCAAAGGGACCACCAGTCTTGGAACACACATCATAGGTACCAGCAGAGTGCCATCTGAGACAACAGAAAATATCTTTATACACAACTCACAAAAATTACAACTCATTATCCATTTGATCAAATGTATTGTATTCACTGTCTAACTTATCAGCAAAAAAAAAAAACCAATTGAAGAGAACATACGCAAGACGGAGCATAATAGGAGCACAATTCTTCTCAGCAATGAGTGCTCTGAGTTTCCTTTTACATTTGTCAACAGCCTTGAGGTACTCCTCGCTCACGGTGGGATAGGACTTACCCATAGTAATTGATCTACAGAGCATTTAAGTACAATAAGTTTCACAATCAAGAAATTAACCAATCATATACTATAGTTAGGTCGAGAAGGCTTAAGTATTTGTAGAAAAAAAACACAAATATTATGTGTAAGCAGATCCATGCCATTCTTGAAGTTGAAAAAAAAAAAAAAACAGACTCTGGACAGATTATTTACGCTTTGCACCATTCAAAAGAAAACAATTTTAATACCCTTTGCACTATTCAAAATGGTACAATTTTGCCAACTCTATGCAATATTAGGTTACCAACTCTAGTAGTGATATGATAAAAGAAAACAATTTTAATTATACTTTAATCAGATTTATTACTTATTTCATCTCAGATTCAGTGTAATAGTTTTGAAAAGGAACTGTAAAATAAATGTATAGTAGAAAAATTAATATTGATAATTAAACTTTATATTTCATAATATTGGCATTGTATAAAAATTGTCAGTTCATCAACTAATTTCATAATCTCCCTAATAATTCTTATTTAAAATCTTTAAAATCAAAAGCACTTGTCCCCTAAACTTTAATAGGATAGCAAAATTATCCCATTTCAAAAATTGACTCATTTTCCCTTGTGTTGGAACAAACCATTAGAAAGAAAGGCGTTTTTCATGAATTTGGATAATTTTTTTAGCCAAAAATGTATTTTTAACCTATTTCGAATAGGCCAAGGTATTTTTCGCCCTTTGTCATTTTTATAGAAAAATATAATAAATAATAATGCAAAAAAAAATCAGAAAAGTGAATAATTATCATAGCCAAACATCTCCGGTCAATTTTATTTATTTTTTTTATAACCAAGACGAATTCGTCTGTGAGCCGCCGCCCTTTGGACCAATCACAGCTTTCTAAACTCGGTGAATAATAGGCCCGCCCCTCTATCCTTCTCCACCTAAATACCGGGCTTCGCTTTGCATGGTGTGGGGGATTGAACCTGATCTCCGGTCAATTTAAAATCGCGATGTGTACAGATTCATCGTAAAAACATTTATACAATTTTTTTAACAAATAATTATTAGTAACATATAGATTCATATCAAGATCACGGATCACCCTCTGTAAAGATCACATAGCACAGGCAAAAGAAGGCATTTCAGAAACAAAAATGCAATCGAAATAATCATTCTATAGACACATTTCACAACATCATCAAAGCCATAAAAAGTGAATAAAATAGAGCTGCATTACAGATCGATCGATCGATCGATGAAAGAGATAAGAACCTGAAGAGAGAGAAAGGCAAAGATGATAAACCCTAGAGAGAGAGTGTGTACGGCACGCACAGACCACAAGCACAGTAATGAAATGAAACAAAAACCCAAAATGGGGAAAATAAAAGGGAAAGGAAGGTTCTAGAAGGCGAATGTAGACCGTAGGATTAGAATGATCGTCTCTAATTGGTGGAAATTACATAAGGTTAAGTTATCTGCAGCCCCTTAAAATTGTATGTATAATTCACTTAGACACCTCAACTAAGATTAATATCTAATGAACACTTTTATCTATTCAAAATTTGTTCGGAGTGATATAACTTTTATTTAGACCAACTTCTCTAATTTTGTTCCTTCGTAATATCTCTGATTTTTCCAAATAATAAAAATAAATTAACTTGCATTGTTAGTAGTTATGTAATCTTTTACTATTTTTCATTTATAATATATGGTTTCCATTCCATTAAAATATTCAAGTACCAACCATATTATATCCATGCAGAACATAGTGAGAAGAGAAACTAAGGTGTTCCAATAGCAAACCCAATTTAGTTTAATTTTATAGTATAACTTACATGAATCTCATAGTGTAAGACCTAAATTACATCTTATTCCTACTCTTTTCTATTTTATAAAAGTTCCTTAAAATATCAGTCATCCGAATACATAAGTTTCATCCGGATACACTGATTGTGATACATTATAAAACTTGTTTGTTGCGCTTAATATGGAATATTAACATAAAATTGATTTTCTTTCCCATAAATCATGCAGATCTTATTGATATCAATCCATGCAATGTGCAACAACTTTACAAAATTCAAAATTCAGATTTTCATCTTTTCTATCAATTCGAAATCGTAAAAGTTCCACATGAGAAATTGCCCTTCTTTGTGTTACAACCTGTCAATGTTAGCATTGATGGAACGATTGTTGTTTTTCAATTGTATAGAGGGGTACTCTTATTTGTTACTCTTTTTTTACACATTTTTTTTTCCCTTGCTTCTCTCAAGAATTCCAAAAATAACGTGCACTTTGTTCTCTCAAGAAAAATGAAGCAAAAAGCAGCTTTAATATGGAAGAGAAGAAAGATGATGGGACTGTGAGATGTTCACTCAAGATTGAAGTAATTGATGATACAACAATGATTGGTATTTATCAAGTTAGAAAAAGTTGCTCAATTGATTAAAATATCAAGGGTTTTGATGGAAAAATAGGAAGAAATAGGAAGAAAAAGAATGCAAATCAAATGGTTGCGATAAAAGCAAAAGTTAGGAACATGATGACTACTGAATAATCAAGAACTCATGGGGTACATCATGGGGAGTGGAGGGGTATGGATATATACGAAGAAACAGTGATTTTCCATGTGATTTTCCATACGGTGTTTGTGCCATTAATTCATTGACTTCTTATCCGACGAAGGAATTATCTTTTATATTATCTCCTTATCCATCTCCGACCGTTCAACCACCTCCTCCACCATTTCCTATGCCCTCTCCACCATTGGTATATAGTTTTTTTTAATGTATCAATGTTATAGTTTTATTTTGTCATTTTGATGTGACTATGTAAGACATGATACATTAGTGGTAAACGACCCGCGTGTATTGTAATTTTGTATCTATAGATTATGATGTGGTCATTATTTTGTATTCGATGTGATTTGTATAAAAATGTATATCATAATATATTGTATATGATATATATAATAAATGGATTAACAATTGAGACGGATCAGATACGTTTTGAATATCGAGTGTGTGTATCACAAATTTGTGTAATGTATCAGGTTATTATTGTGTATATTGTACATGTAAATATGTAACAATTAAGATACGTAAATTACTTGTTTTGATCAAGACAAATGTGGATGATACATTAATATATATCAATCTTGGATTTTTGTGAATGGTTGTATCATTGATAATTTTAATATACCTAGTACATGTTATAAGATGGTTACAAAATTGTGTCGATATGTGCTAGTTTGTTGTTAGATAGGTGTTGCTTTGAAAATTGAAAAAAAATGTATTTCATATAATGTATCACTAAATTTTTTAATGTTTGCAGATTGTTCCATATCGTCTGAGTTTTTATATATCAAGATTATTATTGGGTAATATTACATATACATCGCATTCTAAGTTGGATAAGACTGAACAAATATTAAAGAATGCAGATACATAATACACAACTGATTTGTTATTGTCTATATAACCTTTTAAATTTGAATAAGTTTGATAATACTTTGAAAAACTTGATACCTGCAAATGATACATTAGGTAGTATTTATGTATCAACTATCAAGTACATTTATATTGAACGTGATAAAACTAAACGAATATTCAACAACATTAGGATTATGTACCAACACCTTAAATATGAATATGATACATTGCAAAAAACAAGGATGAACGGAGAATCAGATACAATGGAGAATCATATGTATCAGGAAAAAAGGGTAAAAACAAAAAAAATAAAAAACGACAATGGAGAATATGAAAAGTACCTAATTCAGTGGTTTAAATTTGATTTACTAGAGAGAGAATCCTTTTGAAATTCAAATTGAGATGAAAATTGTAACGGATAAGATTGTGGAGTGAAATTAGAAGAGATTAAAGGAGTGAAAAAAGGAAGAAAAAACGTGGGTTAATGTTAAAATACTTATGTATCCGGATGACTTGAATAAGAAATTTTGGAAATATTTTAAAATGGTAGAGAATAATGAAAATTATGAAAAATAAAAGTGTGTATATAGATAATTAATCCAATTTTATATTCATTGGAAATTTCGTTAATGACAAATATACTCTCAATTTATTTATACGATATTGTGTGCCATGTTTTTTTTCAATGACTTTTAGAATCATTATTCTTCATCTCGTAAGAACAAATTTACTCACATGTTTTTATTTTCCTACTTATCACAATCCAATACAAACTTTAATTTATATTATTATTATTTTTATTTGATGTCAGAAATCCTTATTGAAGTCCCACTGATTTAAATTCGTTGTAGCGGGGATAAGCGCGTCATGCTAAGGATTTTGTCATATCCACAATTTGAACCAGAGATATCTGATTAATGGAGGAACTATCACATCCACTACATCGTTAGGGACCGTTTGGTAGCTGGTTAGAGTTATACATGTATTAATAATGTAGGGATTGTTGGAAAACTATATGTGCAGTGGAAGCATACCAGAATCATACTGCTTACATGAATAATAGATAATCAATGTGTTTATGCTAGAACACATAAACTTACTGAAATTTAATTCAAGAATTACCTCTTGAAGCGTGAGCAGATACATTCAAGTGAATCCACGAGTTAGACCTTCAAGCGACTCCACAAGTTAAACAACAAATCACAGTCTTCTACGGTGATCCCACGTTCACATTCGAACTCTCTACATTTTCGATTATAGAGACGTGTGTAGAAGAAACAGTATATTGATAAAGAAAGTTTTTTCAATACTTGGGTGGGCAAGTATCGAATGGAAAACTCATTCACTTTCTAGGTTAGAAGAATCCCTACTTATAGAAATTTCTTCACAGTCCAAAAACAAGAACAAAAAGACGTTATTTTCAAGAACTAAAAAGTCACAATCTTTTGTTCTTTTTTCCTAGAAAATAGGATTATGAGTTCTAGTTAAATATGGGCACAGTAGGAATCACAAAACTAATTAATAAGGCTTGCTATTATGGATATAATTTCATATAATTAATTTGAATTATTCTTACCATAATAAATTACAAATCATTTCACGTAATCACACTCTATTTATATTTCAAAATTCTCCATTGAACACTTATGTAATTCCACATGTTAAGATTACAAATACTAATCAAAATTATTGACTAATTTAATTCAAAAATTATTTTCCTTTAGAGTACTGCTTAACTTATTTCATGTGTCGGATTCAAAAATTCACTTGTAAGGTTTGACACGATGAAAACTTATAAGTTTCTCAAAAAGACTATCATCAATCTCTATATCGAGACATGGATTCCATCAATTAACTTATTATTTCAGCAATATATATTATTATCATCTAATTTACCAGATATATTGACTCATCTCAGAATCTCACCTTTTAATAAATTAAAACGATAATTAATACATACAAATCATAATAGTTATATCATAATTAAGAATATAAGTACATTTAACAGTTTAAAGAATATATTTTTGTCAGTTAGTCTAAAACAACTATCTCTACTCGTCCCGTTCAATACATACAAAATGACATAGCATAAGAAGTTGGAACTATACCATTCTCATAATCAAGATAAATTATATATAATCTTGTGCTACAATCGTATCGATGACATATCCAATTTCCATCTTAGATTGTGAACAAAAAACTTTATATTTACCGATGATTTAATCATTTGTATATAAGATAAAACTCTATACACTAAATTATCTACTATATAAATAAACAGACACCACAAACGAATATATTATCTATTAAAACTGAATAAATAATTTATTCTATAATAAATATTATATCTAAACATATGGTTGATAGTATATATCCCAACAAGAGTATCTAATAGGTAATAGTCCTAATTGGAGTAATTTCCCTCAAAATATACTTGACACAAAAAAATATTTTTCTCTCTCCTATGTCACATTATTCCTTTTTTACTAGTAATTAAAAAATTTAACTTTTTAAATCAACCCATATGATATACTCGGTAAAAATAATAATTACATAACGTAAAGTGAACATTTTTAAACAACTTATATTTGTAATGCTAATTATTTATTCTAAATCATTTTTCAAATAATTCATTCTTGAAGTTCTTATAAAATGCGTCAGGTGAACATTAAAAACAAGTAAAAGTGAACAGAATAAAAAAGAAAAATAAGTGACATTAGAGAACAATTTTTACGTACTTATAAAAAATCAAGAGTATTATATCAACTAATTCTTTTTACGGATTTTTTTCTAGCAACTATTCCCTCTGTCCATTTTTATTTATTCATTACGTTATAAATAATTATTCATTTGTTACTTGTTTACTTTAGAAAATCAAGTGGTAATTTATTACTTAAT